ACTTGGCACCTGCCCACATTGCCAAAAGCACCAAAACCTGGTTCACTGACCATGGGATTACTTTGCTTGATTGGCCAGCAAACTTGCCTGACCTGAACCCCATAGAGAATCTAGGGGGCATTGCCAAGAGAAAGATGAGGGACATGAGATCGAACAACGCAGAAGAGCTAAAGGCCGCTATTGAAGCATCCTGGTCTTCCATAACACTTCAGCAGTGCCACAGGCTGATAGCTTCCATGCCATGCCGCATTGAGGCAATAATTGCTGCAAAAGGGGCCCAAACCAAGTACTGAGTACATATGCATGCTTATACTTTTCAGAGGTCCGATATTGTTCTATGTACAATCCTTGTTTTATTGATTGCATGTAATATTCTAATTTTCTGAGATTGTGGATTTGGGGTTTTCATGAGTTGTAAGCCATCATCATCACAATTATGACAAATCACGGCTTGAACTATCTTGCTTTGCATGTAATGAGTCTATCTCATATATTAGTTTTACTGTTTAAGTTGCATTACTGAAATAAATGGACTTTTGCATGATATTCTAATTTTTCGAGTTTCACCTGTATATCGGACATAAATACAATTGAGCGAATCCAGAAGTATTTCATGAGAAGAGAACTACACTCCTCTGCTCACAACAGAATACCCTATATCACCAGGCTTGAAATTTTGGGCTTGGACAACCTTGAACTACATCGCCTATGGTTGGACTTAAGCGTAGTGAACAAAATTATCTGCTACAATGTCCTACCAGTCAATGACTTCTTCAGCTTCAACCACAACAATACAAGAGCACACAACAGATACAAATTCAATGTAAACCATTCCAAACTTGATTGCAGAAAGTACGACTTCAGCAACAGAGTAGTCAATGCCTGGAATGCACTACTTGACTCTGTTGTTACATCCTCAAACCCCCTCTCCTTTAACCTTAAACTATCCACTATTGATCTTACCCCATTCCTAAGAGGTCAGTAAGAGACATGCTTAAGTGCACAATTGTGCCTACCGTCCCTGTCCTACTGTCTCCATTTATTCGTACCTGTTTCCTGTATTCTTACTCATGTTTATACTTATACTTATTATCTTGTAAGCAATTGAAAAATCAAATAAATAAATAAATAAAATACCTTTACAATGTTCTGAATTCCATACTCTAGTTACCAAGAAACTACATTGCTGGAAATATATGTTATTTTTTTAAATCCTCCTTTGCTTTTTTGCAATTTGTTTGTTATTTGAGTTCTTTTTAATCCTGTCCCTTTCACAGATATACTAATTTTCTTTAAATGTTTAACACAGATAAGTCTAACTGCTGATTACACAACCTCAATCAATTGGACATCAGAAGATAACACAATGCCCTAAATCTTTTCCAAGGTGTTTTATGCTTTCTCTTCTTATTTTTTTAAACAGGGTTTTAAATGAGCCTCACAAGAGATGACTCCAGGACTCAAAATGGCTTCTAAGAATTGGGAAATGGATAATAGTTGGAGGCATCAGAATTTGAAGATGCTTCCATCCTTGGGTTCACGTTTGTCTACCTGAAACCTTTTCTATTTCCTTTATTTGCTAGAGCTTGTCCATGTAGAAACTGTGCATTGAAATATGGCAACATCACAATAATTAGACTCTATATGCTCAGTCACAACATATCTGCTGGCTGAAAGGAAGATCTTGCTTAAATCCAACTTTTTTTTTTTTTTTACTAAAGTTCCATATTGACCCTCTCTGGCCAAAGGGAACCTAAGACAGAGAATAATGTTGAGAAATCAATGACTAGCAAATTGGGACATCAATATTCTTCCTTCATTGCTCAGCCTCTTACTGGCTGCTAGCCTGGCAAGGGAACCAAAAGCAGTGCGTGCAATGCTGCCTAATAAACTACCTCAGGCACACAAACTGACCTACGGTAACAACGCACACTAGCAACAAGGACAACTTTAAAACCAAACAAACCAGAAGCTGTTTAAAAGAACAAACAAAAAAAGAGGGAGGGTTACAATGATGTCCACAGGAGGGACAATGAAGTCAGACTGACGAAAATGCCATTATGATCTGTTGATACAAGCCCTGCCTGTTTTCTAGATGCATGATAAAGTTTCATGCACGCCCAGAAGTGGCGGGGTTTGTAACAGAAAAGGATAGCACTGTTTGAGTCTCTGTCATAAATACCAGGTTTCTGTGGATCCTGGTGGAGGGATCTAGTGCATGAATGAGAGAAGGCTAAATAGTACAGTTGGGGAAGAGCCCCCTGTTTAAAGCAAAATAAATGAATGGAGAAATACGTTGGGAAGGGAAGGCTATGGATGGGAGCCAAGACAAGCGAGCTCGTCCATCAGCATTGTTGACACATTAAAAAAATAATAGATCAAAGTTGATTGAGTCAATATAGCATGACAGAGTGGCACAGCCAGTCAGGACAAGGGATTAGTAACACTGAAGCAATAGATTGACTGATGTGAATGTACTTCATTCTATGCCTCACACAATCTCACATCTTATCCAAGACATTGTGATTAGGGCAATGGATGAGGTCCTGGCCTGTCAGATCCTAAAGCCAGATCCTAAATCCTCTTAGAGCCAGGACTCATTGCTTAAGTGGGGTCTTGTCTCTACCCCTCAGTATGACTGTGGTGCTCCTCGACAAAATATCCATCACATTGTGTCCAAATGTCCATTGAAAGCTTACATCGGCCTTGAATGGCTGGGTGAATTGGACATTGGCATTTGAGCTACTGTAAGTCCATGTATTTGCCATACACTAAATAAATATCTGCAGATATGCAGATGATACCACTCTAATGGCAGAAAGTGAAGAGGAACTAAAGATGCAAGTGAAGAAGGAGAGTGCAAAAGTTGGCTTGAAACTCAACATTAAGAAAACTAAGATCATGGCATCTGGACCTCTCAATTCCTGGCAAATAGATGGGAAAGAAATGAAGGTAGTGACAGTTTTTATTTTCCTGGTCTCCAAGATCACCGCAGGTGGGGACTGCAGCCAATAAATTAAAAGATGCTTGCTCCTGGGGAAGAAAGCTATGGAAAATCTAGACAGCATACTAAAAAGCAGAGATATGACTCTGCCAACAAAAGTGCATATAGTCAAGGCTATGGTTTTCCCAGTTGCAATGTATGGCTGTGAAAGTTGGACCATAAGAAAGACTGAATGCCAAAGAATTGAGGCCTTTGAACTATGGGGCTGGAGAAGACTCCTGCGAGTCCCTTGGACTGCAAGGTGATCAAACCGGTCAGTCCTAGAGGAGATCAACCCTGACTGCTCTTTAGAAGGCCAGATCCTGAAGATGAAACTCAAATACTTTGGCGATCTAATGAGAAGGAAGGACTCACTAGAGAAGAGCCTAATGCTGGGAAAGATTTAGGGCAAAAGAAGAAAGGGACAACAGAGAATGAGGTGGCTGGATGGAGTCACTGAAGCAGTTGGCGTGAGCTTAAATGGACTCCGGGGGATGGTAGAGGACAAGAAGGCCTGGAGGAATGTTGTCCATGGAGTCGTGTTGGGTTGGACACGACTTCGGAACTAACAACAACTACAAATAAATAAATAAATAAGCCATCATGGCTTTTAATGCCAACGGTCTATTTTCACCATCATATTTTGGACACATTGTGCAAATACTTGGCTTTCTTTGCTAATCCATAGTGTTGCAAAAGGTAGATAGAAAGAAAGATGATGACCAACAACAAGGTGGTTGGACTTGATTCCAGCAACAATGGGTGTAACGTTGGAGGACCTGAAGGGCCAGGTTTGGAAAGTGATTGTCCTGGACAAGTTCTGTCTATGTAATCTCTAAAAGTTGACAGCAGCTTGATAGAGTGTAATAAACCCAATAGAGATATAAACCTCAGTATGTATGAACCCAGAACAAGATATGCAGTGGGAATGTTTTCAGCGCGTATGTATGTGTACATTATTGAACACATAGGTATACACACACACACACACACACACACACACACACACACTTACATAACACTGAATGTAAACATGACAAATGAACCATTTAAGTTGCCACATAAATGCGTTTGACCCTTTGGTCTGAATTATTATTCCTTAGGCTCTTGAAATGTATAATAACATAATAATAGAAATGCAGTATCCAAGACACTACATTGATTTCTTTAAAATATTCCACTGTATAGATTATGAGTTATTTTCTCTTTCAGGAATGAATATAAAAGGATGGGTTAGATGTGGGACATAATGCAAGGGCATATCCACCACTCAAACTGTCTTATTTATTTATGGATTGATTCAATTTATATGGCTGCCCATCTTAAAAAAGCAGTTCTGAGCAGTTAATATAACATAACTATTCCAAATACAGAAGAAACAACAATATACTGTAAAAACATACAATGGCAATTCAGAATAAGAACCAATCAACAGCAACCAATAGTAGCACTTTAGAAGTTTAACTACCCTCTGAACTTCTCCATTTAATTCAGAGGCCCCACAAAGCACATACATATATTTAAAATATCAAAACACCAGATCCTCGATTTTCCACCTCATATATAATTCTGTTTTAATATAGTCTAAAAAGGAGAGGTCAATGGCTTTTCAATACAAAACTAAATATTGTTAATTCCATTCTTACACCTTACTGAAAGTTCCTTATGTGGTCTTGCTGTATAGGTATACTTTAGAAGATGTTTTCATTGATATTTCTACTGCCTGTCATCTATCATTAAAGGTACAGTTTAGAAAATCCATCCATTCTATCCACAAAAAGATCTCTTACATAATATCATTAATCCAAACAAAACAGAATTTTATAGATTTTTTTAAAAAGATGAACTTTATACTATTAACAGAGCGAGCACCTTTATTCCTTCAAATTACAGTAAGACTATGAGAATCTGGTCATAATAATTTTAAAATGATTTCTCTTTTATCTTGTTCAAGGTGTCCTATTTTTTAACATTTTTTCCCTAAATCTAAAATAGTAAAAAAAAAAAAAAAACTCACCAAAGGAGGATTTGAAAAAGAAAAAGAAATAAGTATCAAATATTCCAGTGCCGCCACATTAACCAATAATGCGTCTGTTCATTTTCAATGTCCATCAACTTTTGCATACTAACTTAGTGATCAGGAATTAAGCCTCTACGTTGCCCATGATTATTTACCTATAGGTCAGTAGCCGCAAAGTCACCCAAGTTCGTTGACATCCCATGTAGAATTTTAACTTGACCGCTTCATCACACAGCTGAATAGCCAATTTGGGGTGGAGGTGGGAGGAGGTAGATAAGGAGATGCATTGAAATGTTTATTTCTCAAGCCAGGGAAGAAAAAAATGAAGAATTTCCTACCATTTCATTCCGGCAATTATTACATTACATTGCGTACTGCCACACAATTCTGTAAGAAAATTAAAATGAAGTTAGAAGATTGCCATTTCTCTCAGTTTCCTCTCGCCTTTTGAAAATTACAGGTAGCTCTCGACTTACAACAATTCATATAGTGACCATTTAAAATTACAAGGGCACTGAAAAAAGTGACTTGTGACTGTTTTCACACTTGCGCATGTTGCAGTAGTAGTGCTGTGGTCACGTGATCAAAATTAAAATGCTTGGTCCAGTGGTGGGATTCATTTTTTTTTTACTACAGGTTCTGTGGGCGTGGCTTGGTGGGCGTGGCAGGGGAAGGATACTGTAAAATCTCCAGTCAGAGGTGGTATTTGCAGGTTCTCCGAGGTGGGATTTGCCGGTTCTCCGAACTACTCAAAGTTTCCACTACTAGTTCTCCAGAACTGGTCAGAACCTGCTGATTACCACCTCTGGCTTGGCCACTGACTCATATTTATGACAGTGACAGTGTCCTCATGACCTGATGAGCAAAGCCAATGGGGAAGCCAGATTTACTTAGTAAGTAACAACTGTGTGACTAACTTAACAACTGCAGTGATTCACTTAACAACTGTGGCAAGAGAGGCCGTAAAATGGGGCAAAACTCACTTAACAAATGCCTCATTTAGCGACATTAATTTTGGCCTCAATTGTGGTTGTAAGCTGACGACTACTTGTATTGCACTAGGTCATATTGAAAACTAAGGTTTAAAAATACAGTTCATTTTGGGGAAATTAGCATATCTAAGCTCATATTTTCCATTTGGCGTCTGGACAATTAACCTGCCAATTTTTACTGTAAAGTTCCTTTTAAAATCTAAAATCCACCCCCTTTCAAAAAAAAAAAGGGGGGGGATCTATAAGTCAGATTCTGTCCTAGGGGAGAATTTACTCCCTCTGGAATTCAATATTTCTCCTAGGCTGTGTAGGCTTCCTTTAGTGTGCCATTCATCCAAACGCCTCATGACAGCAAACGCAGAAAGAATTCAGTCATGTCCCTTGATTTCTCCTGTTATTTTTATACTCTTTTGGGCATTTCACTGTCCTGCCATGTCACCATCGGCTTTCAGAATTGGACAGGAATGACCAAGTGCAGGGATTAACCTTTCTCCTTTAAATCATGCCCCGGGAACAAAGCCAAGCCAAGATGATAAGAATAAAATTGAGATTATAGTGACATTTTATGTTATCAATGATTATGGTTGCATTACATATAAAACACAAGAAATAAGAACAACTAGACACAAGGACAGTGATTATCTTAAAGCAACTCAAAGTCCTCACTGAAGATGGGTGTGTTCACTTTTTTTTTTTTTTTTTACCCAGAGGGAATCACCTTTTTCCATTTATTCAGAAACAGCTCTCCAAAAGCAAGAGCATCTCTGAAAGGAACCCTCCCCCCACCCTGGACATCTTATTGTCTAATTAGGATCAAAGCCATATAGGATTCAAAACATCTTAATTATGCTGAGAAAACAATGGGCAATGCTTAATCTGAGCTATCAGTCCTGGGGTGCAAGAATTAGAACAACCCCTAGATGGCAGCACAGAAATCCAAAAAGCACTAGCTTTTTTGGTGCCATCTTATGACCACCTGGAATTCTGCAGCTCAGATTTGGTTATGCTAGCATCTTTTGAAATGGGAAGAAATGAGACATGCCACTTTATAGATTAAATTGGGATTTCTTAAAACTTATTTAGACGGGCCGAAAGTTGTTTATCATTTGGATGTGTATACATCTGACCATAGCTATGTTTACTCAATGCTCAATTATATTAGGCTGAGTTGTAATTGGTTCTGGCTAACCCACACACTAGTAGTGGGATTCAAATTTTTTTACTACCAGTTCTGTGGGCGTGGCTTGGTGGGTGTGGCAAGGGAAAGATACTGTAAAATCTGCTGACAGAGGTGGTATGTGCTGTCCAGACAGTTTAGAGTTAATGGGATTTGGGATAGTTAATTAGGAATTCAGAACTGTCCCCTTAAGGGAATACATCATAGTAAATGTAGTTAAGGTATCCTGGGAAATGTAGTCCATGTCATGTGGTCACATCTGTAATCCAGATTGGTCACTAAATTGTCCCTTGTTGGGTTGGGGGAGGCTCCCTCACTCTTGCCTGGATCCACCATACCATGCAGCTGCTTCAATCATCATGGGGATGAGACTTTATCTTTCTACATCACAATTCAGATATGCAAAGGATTGGACATTAAGAAGAATCTCATCATAAATGTGAGTTGATAAGGATGCCTGATGAACCAATAAAAAAGACTTTGTGTGGATGCTTTGTGGAGTTACTCTGTCTGCTTTATGCCATCCAGACAGTAATAAGCAGAACATGATATTTGCCAGTTCTCTGAACTACTCAAAATTTCCACTACTGGTTCTCCAGAACTGGTCAGAACCTGCTGAATACCACCTCTGCCACACACTATTATACTCTGAAATGAGTGAAATGTTGGGCTCACTTTCTCTGACTCTTTTTCAAACTCTGAGATGACTTGTCACTTGTGCCAATAACCATCTGATGGAGCTGAAAACAATTCCTCAGAGAAGGAGGAGAAGGTCCCATTTCAAAAGCAGCCTTAAGGAAGAGGAGGAGGAAGAGGAAGAGGAGAATCCTAGGCTGGGACAAACCTAATCCCTTAAAACACCAGCAAATCCTCTTTAGAGTTGTTCCTTCCAAAGTGTCCTGCAGTGACACTACCATCTTAGGTAGGAAGTTTACGAAATATAGCCCCAAAGTACAATGGTTAGGTCATCAACATCCACTGCAACATCACCTGCTCCCCACTCCACAATCACATGCTTAGCTCTGCTTGGCAAAAAAAACCCAGTAATAATAGTAACCATCTAAAATGTTGTGTTCTGTAAACAAGATGAGTTATCCAATCATTGACAAATTATCTGATTCTACTAAGCCTCTGAGATCCTGCCCTCACCTTTTGGGTTTGGTTTTCTAGCTTTTCTAGTACCGGGAGATGCTGTTGTTCCTTCTTTCTAAAACCATCCATTGATCTATATTTGCCCTTGAGCTGTTGTTCCTATGTTGTAATGTATAGGGAAGTTGTGTATGCATTGTAAGCACAGATGGACAGCATAGAGGGATCCCATGTAGCCAATGCTCTAGTGGCTTTTTTAGAGCTTAGAATGAATAATTATAAATCACAGGGATGTCATTATGCTCTTTCATCTGATGTTACTACAGTAACTTACTTTTTGTTGTCCTTTCAGTGTCAGTTTGATCTAGGCACCAGGCTAGAAGCCAGAGACTGTGAGTTCTAGTCCCATTTTAGCCATGAAAATTGTCTCTGGGCGACCTCCCCAACTCACCTCACAGGATTGTTATTGTGGGGAAAAACAGAAAGAAGAAGGATACAAATAAATAAGTTTGTTCATAGAGGGCTTTATATAAGGTTTGGGACCTTGCTTTTTAAAGGTCAAAGGCCATTCCACCAAAGCCTATTCCTGTATAGCTTGTCTTATACACTGCTCAAAAAAAATAAAGGGAACACTTAAACAACACAATGTAACTCCAAGTCAATCACACTTCTGTGAAATCAAACTGTCCACTTAGGTAGCAACACTGATTGACAATCAATTTCACATGCTGTTGTGCAAATGGAATAGACCACAGGTGGAAAGCATAGGAGGTTAGCAAGACATCCCCAATAAAGGAGTGGTTCTGCAGGTGGTGACCACAGACCACTTCTCAGTTCCTATGCTTTCTGGCTGATGGTTTGGTCACTTTTGAATGCTGGCGGTGCTTTCACTCTAGTGGTAGCATGAGACGGAGTCTACAACCCACACAAGTGGCTCAGGTAGTGCAGTTCATCCAGGATGGCACATCAATGCGAGCTGTGGCAAGGTTTGCTGTGTCTGTCAGTGTAGTGTCCAGAGCATGGAGGCGCTACCAGGAGACAGGCCAGTACATCAGGAGACATGGAGGAGGCCGTAGGAGGGCAACAACCCAGCATCAGGACCACTACCTCCGCCTTTGTGCAAGGAGGGACAGGAGGAGCACTGCCAGAGCCCTGCAAAATGACCTCCAGCGGGCCACAAATGTGCATGTGGCTGCTCAAACGGTCAGAAACAGACTCCATGAGGGTGGTATGAGGGCCCGACGTCCACAGGTGGGGGTTGTGCTTACAGCCCAACACCATGCAGGACATTTGGCATTTGCCAGAGAACACCAAGATTGGCAAATTCGCCACTGGTGCCCTGTGCTCTTCACAGATGAAAGCAGGTTCACACTGAGCACATGTGACAGACGTGACAGGGTCTGGGGACGCCATGGAGAACATTCTGCTGCCTGCAACATCCTCCAGCATGACCGGTTTGGCAGTGGGTCAGTAATGGTTTGGGGTGGCATTTCTTTAGGGGGCCGCACAGCCCTCCATGTGCTTGCCACAGGTAGCCTGACTGCCATTAGGTACCGAGATGAGATCCTCAGACCCCTTGTGAGACCATTTGCTGGTGCGGTTGTCCCTGGGTTCCTCCTAATGCAAGACAATGCTAGACCTCATGTGGCTGGAGTGTGTCAGCAGTTCCTGTAAGACGAAGGCATTGATGCCATGGACTGGCCCGCCCGTTCCCCAGACCTAAATCCAATTGAGCACATCTGGGACATCGTGTCTCGCTCCATCCACCAATGTCACGTTGCACCACAGACTGTCCAGGAGTTGGGGGATGCTTTAGTCCAGGTGTAGGAGGAGATCCCTCAGGAGACCATCCGCCACCTCATCAGGAGCATGCCTAAGTGTTGTAGGGAGGGCATACAGGCACGTGGAGGCCACACATACTACTGAGCCTCATTTTGACTTGTTTTAAGGACATTACATCAAAGCTGGATCAGCCTGTAGTGTTTTTTTCCACTTTAATTTTGAGTGTAACTCCAAATCCAGACCTCCATGGGTTGCTAAATTTGATTTCCATTGATAATTTTTGTGTGATTTTGCTGTCAGCACATTCAACTATGTAATGAACAAAGTATTTCATAAGAATATTTCATTCATTCAGATTTAGGATGTCTTATTTTTGTGTTCCCTTTATTTTTTTGAGCAGTGTATAAAAGGTGAATATAGATAATGAAGTCATCGGATGGAATTTCTGTACCCAACCCTGCTTGCCTTCTATTCATTAACTCTGTGAACAATCAATGCATGATACATGTTCTGCTTGATTCTGAAGCATAAACTAAAAATAGTTTCACTGGATCCAGTCACCAGATTCTCAGTGATTTACTCACCTGACACAGATAGATGCAAATGACAAGCACGCTACATATTGAGTCACATGCTATGAGTAATGCCACCCACAAGTCATCTGTGTAACTTTTAAATGTACGATGCCCTTCAGAAGGATTGGATCTTAACATCCGTAATTATTAATCAATATTATTAAAAGACCACCCTGTCTGGAGAACAAATAAAAGAATTCTCTTGCTGCCCAGTGATATTCTGTTTTTGGTCATATCAATCAGCTTCTGGATCACAAGTAAATACTCTATGTCTATATTGCAATTAGGATATTCTTCAACAAGCTAGATTCCCAGCTATCTTTTCTTTTCTTTTAAGATAACAAATAGGCCCCTAGATTAATTCTCTCTCTTGGCCCCCACAATGTCATTATTCCCAGCCAATAAAAGTAGTTTCAACTATTGGTATCCAAAAGAGGAACAAGACTCTTTGAAACTGAAATGGGTTTTTATTGTACTTAAAAATTATAACCCACAAAGGAGAGATGGAAGCACCAGATTTACAAATGGAATTGGATGATTTTTACAAACTAAAAAGGATATGCAAATAATGCGTCAAAATAGGTGATGTGGATTACTTGTTTAATTTGGAATACAGGTAGTTCTCGACTTATGACTTCAATGGAGCCGAACATTTCTGCGGCTAAGCGAGACATCGGTAAAGTGAGTTTTGCCCCATTTGACGATCTTTCTTGCCACCGTTGTTAAGTGAATTATTGCAGGTGTTAAGTTAGTAACACAGTTGTTAAGTGAGACTGGCTTCCTCATTGGCTTTACTTGTTAGAAAGTCACAAAAAATAACGATATGACACTGGGACATTCCAACTGTCATAAATAGGAGCCAGTTGCCAAGCATCTGAATTTTGATCACATGACCATGGGGAAGCTGGAACGGTCATAAGGGTGAAAACCGGTCATAAGTCACTTTTTTCAATGCCGCTGTATCTTCAAACGGTCACTAAATAAACTGGTGTAAGTTCAGGATTGCCTGTATAAGAGTTCTACTGGAGTTACTGTGTTGTAATAACAAATAGTCTTTGATAAAGATGACAAGAATTTTGGAAGAAGAGATGAGGATAATAGAAGAAAGTAGATGTTAGAAAATTTGTTTATGGGCCCTAAGGCTCTCAGTGATGAAAATAAAAATAAAAATGTAAAATTGATTTATTTGATTCTGGTTAAATAAAAGATTGTTATCTTTGTTGAAGTTTATTGGTTGTTTTGACTGCTTAATTCTTTTTGGAAATGTTTAATTGGATATAACCAATTAGTTTGTAATATCTATGTTAGGACTTTTGGTTTATAAACAAGTGGTTATTAATTCTGGTAATGTTTAAGTTTTTATTTTTTTTACAATGTTTAATTGTTAATTGAGATTAGGTTTTGATTAAGAAAGGAATTAAGGGGATTTTCTTTAAATAGAAAGGGTGACTAAATACTTAAGTTGTTAATTGAGTGTATTAACTTTTTCTGGAGTTTTGCTAGTCAATAAGGACAACTGAGGATTTAGAGATGCATCTGTAGAAAATGGGGTGAGGTATGGAATGAAGATGTATTTGGTTGTATTTTAAGAGACAATGATGAATTTAAAGTTAATGATTAACATACTTGCTGGGGTTGGAAAAGTTTCATCTTTCTTTTTTTGAGAGGAAACTTTTCTGCACGTTTAAAACTTTTTTTACTTTTTAAAATGAATTTTTGTATTAGGTTTCTGTATTCGTTTTCTTGAATATTAATACAACTTGAATTATTGAATTATTATAATTCAGTACAATTAGCTTCTTTGGGAAATTGATTTATTGATTTGTTCTCTGAGGTGGAGATGATGAACTGCCTCTTCACTTATACCCAACTACACTGTTCAAGTATTTTTATTTATTTATTTTTAGCCAATTAAGAAAGATCATGGATTAACCCACTTCCCGACAGAACAAGAAACTGTCCAGTTTATTTTCATGGAAAAGTTTTCAGGAGGTAAACTAACTGCTCCTTGTAAAAATATACTAATGGAAAACTGTCACATAAGTAAAGTAGTTGAGCGGAGTAGTTGAGCAAAAATGGGAATGGAATGGAATGGAATAGAATAGAATAGGAAAAGAATAGGATCCTCTCCAAAACAAGAAATGGCAATATTATTCATGACTCCAGCTAGTCCAGTCCTTTTTTTAAAAAAATAAGTAACTTGTAAACGATTTTTAAAAAAACACCACCTTCCTGTATCCTGCTAGCGCGCTGCAACAAAACCACCCCACTGCGCTCCTATTGCTGGAGGAAGAGCTATACCTCCGAGAAAAGGGAGAGATATATCCCCAAGGAAAGCAGCCCAGTCTTGTTTTACGGTGGGGAGGAGCGGGGCATATGGAGCGGATTAGACGGGGTGAGTGGGTATCCAACCCTGGCAACTTTCAGATTTGTGGACTTCGAGTGGGCTGGCTGAGGATTTCTGGGAGTTAAAATCCACAGGTCTTAAAAACTTGGACACAAAGTCGGATTGGAGACCATCGCGCAGTTCGGCCCGTCAGCGTAGTCCACACTCTTGCTTCAGTTTGCATAGGAAATTGTGAAGGGACAACTAGAGCACCAGGGAGAACTACTAAGAAAAGCAACTGTGACCTGGTTAGTTATACCGAGATTTGCAAGGATGACTTCCTTTTTTTTTTCTTCCCCACCCCCCAACCCAACTTGAGGTTTTGGGTGGGGCCGCCCACGCCTTCCCGCTTTTTTTTTTCCCCTTCGGCAGGGCATTGCGGGCCGGTCACGTGACCCCCGCTGTAGTAAAAGGTCTCCGTAAATATTCTGTTTCTTCCTCCAGACAGAGCCTGCTCTAAAAAATAAAATAAAATAGCCAAAGCTCTTGAGATGAAAGGAGAGCCGTGAACGAGACGGGTAAGTCCATCCCCTCCCTTCTCTGTATCTTAAATTAGGGTCAGAGAGCCTTACCGGACGGCAAGCACCGGTGGGGGTGTGGGGGGAAGGAAAGCAGGTCATTCCCGCAACCGAGTAACTTGGTCTGAGAAACGACACGTGTCCCAGGGACGGTTCTGCCCTTCTGGATTCCTGAAAAAGATTTTGGTCCTCCCTACCTGTCTCCAGATCTATCCCAAAGGGGTGTTATCCCGAGGGTTTTTGCAAGTACTTAATCAGACCCTGAAGAAATGGTGGCTGGGAAGTGGATAGTTTTGGAAGGATAACTTTCTCAGTTCCAGATAACAGATTAAACAGATAATCAGAGTTGGAAGGGACCTTGTAGGTCATCTAGTCCAACCCCCCGCCCAAGCGGGAGACCCTACATCATTTCGGACAAATGGCAGTCCAATCTCTTCTTGAAAGTCTCAAGTGATGGCGCTCCCACAACTTCCGAGGGCAAACTGTTCCGTTGGTTGATTGTTCTCACTGTCAGAAAGTTTCTCCTTATTTCCAGGTTAAATCTCTCCTTGTTCAGTTTCCATCCATTATTCCTTGTCTGGCCTACAGGCGCTTTAGAAAATAGCTTGACCCCTTCCTCCCTGTGGCAGCCCCTCAAATATAGGAAGACTGCTATCATGTCTCCCCCGGTCCTTCTCTTTACTAGACTAGCAAAGCCCAGTTCCTGCAACCATTCATCATATGTTTTAGCCTCCAGTCCCCTAATCATCCTGGATGCTCTTCTCTGTATTATTTCTAGAGTCTCAACATCTTTTTTTATAGTGTGGTGGACCAAAACTGGATGCAGTACTCTAGGTGTGGTCTTACTAAGGCTTTATAGAGTGGTATTAGTACCTCCCTTGATCTTGATTGTATCCCTCTGTTAATGCAACCTAGGATTGCAAATGATCATCTTGCAAATATAACCCTGAACTCTTTTTGGAGCTGAAAAGCCAGTGGAGAACCTAATTTATGGGGTTTCTGGGTGCTCTTTGGTCTTGGTTATTTACTTGCTGAGGTTTGGTTGGCGCACTAGGACTTAGGTAACATCTTCTGAAGATGCTACCTCACCTGCTAGGGAAATTTCTACAAGCACTTAGCAAGCCCAGAGAGCACCAAAGGACTCCACACTTCAACCCTGAGTTACTTATATTCTCTTCTACTAGAATCTAATTTTTTCCTAATGATGTTGTATTGTGGAGGACCCCTAAATAAGTTCTAAAAATGAACTTCATTTGTTTACGCTTCTGTCTGCTCTCCTTTTGCCATCTTCATTTATTATCCAGTTGTACCAACGAATGAAAAATAATATTCTTTTAATGATTTGGATACTATATTTGTGCATCTTTTTTTTGCTTTTATTCTCACAATACCCATATGTATACTTAGCTGTAAATACACTTTTCTGTATTTACAGTGTAAGTACATTACTCTGGTTTTCATGATATACTAAAGGCTAAAGTCACAAGCTTTTTAACTTGGTGATTGAATTAGTCCTTTTTCCAAAGTGATACAGTATTTTAAATTAAGCTGACCCAATCAATTGGGTGCACACACCATGTTAAGCCACCAAGGAAACAAACTAAAATGAACTCTAAATAAATTTAGTATATTACACCAGTAGATTAGTTAAATTAGGACTTTTATTATTCTGATCCCTCCTTCCACTTCAGCTGTCTGTCTTATAATTCTTCAAGGTTGCGTCTAGTGACACGGCCTTCTCTTCATCCCTAATTCATAGCCAAGGCCAAGTAACTGGGTTGTTGCAGCTTGGTGTGAAAGTTGTGTCTTCCACCTTCTCCCTCCGCCAGCCTTGCTGTATGTCCCATATGCAGGTAGTCCTTGCTTAACAACCCCAATTGGGACCAGAGTTTCTGTCACTAAATGAAGCAGTTTCCTCTGGCTGCTGTGCTCACCTGCATTTCAACTCCCTCCACCCACCTATCTCCCTTCCCCCATCTCTGCTCATTTGGCTGCCCTGCACTGCACTCCGCACCTCCACGTCTTGCATCCACCTTCCCTTCTGTCCTCAGGAAGGCTTTGCACACCCAGTTGCAAAGGCCAGCCTGGGAGGAGCAAGAAAACAAGAGGCAGCTTGGGATGGCAAGGACACTAGAGTGTGTGTAGGAGGAGTGCAAAGTGGAGGACAGTGGCAGAGGTAGCAAAGTGCAAGGTGAAATGCAGGGTGTCAGGAGAGGTGGAGGGCAGGTAGCAGAGATAGCAGTAGCAATAAGCACTTAGACTTGTATGCTGCGTTTTAGTGCTTTACAGCCCTCTCTAAGCGGTTTAACAGATAACAGATAATCAGAGTTGGAAGGGACCTTGTAGGTCATCGCCTTTAGAAAATAGCTTGACCCTTCCTTCTCTGTGGCAGCCCTTCAAATATTGGAACACTGCTACTTACAAATAGCAAAGTCAGACTATTTACAAAGTCAATCTATTTACGGTTTACAGCCTATTGCTTCCAACAATTTGGATCCTAAAATGCACACCTGGCTAGAAAAAATGATATAGATTTAAATCTGGAAATATTCCTGTTGGGCATCATACCGGATAAATATAGTAAAAGAATGCCTACTTAATAGTACATGTGTTAACAGTGGCCAGAATCATGTTCGCACAACATTGGAAGGGTGAAAAGATCCCCACAGAAGAAAAGATAATAACAAAAATTTTGGAATGTGCAGAAATGAATAAACTAACATTTGAAATTAAAGAAAAGGAAGACACTGAATATTTTGCAGTATGGGATCTGTTCTATCATTGGTTAAATAAGAGAAACAGGAGTTAGAATCTCAAAGATTACAAGAGAAAGATTAATCTCATGATCAGGGTTGTTTATTGTAACTTATTAATTGTGATTAATTTTGATTAGTTTTACCAATTAATATGTATCAATGTTACGAGGGAAAAGCACTGTTATCATGCAATTATCATTAGAGAAGATTATTACTAATATTATGATGAATATTACTCCAAGAAATGTAACCAGGCAACCCACTGTATATATGAATTTTTAACACGTTTCTCTTTTTTATTTATATATTAATAAAAAATTTTAATTAAATAAATAAACAAAAATAAAAAATAAACAATCTGGCTCCTCATTTTACTGACTTCGGAAGGATGGAAGGCTGAGTCAACCTTGAGCTGGTGAGAATCGAACTTCTAATAGTTGGCAGAATTGGCCTGCAATACTGCATTCTGATCACTGCGCCTCCCTGGTTCATTATGATACAGGACAAAGTGCTGGGCGGAGAGGCAGCGAAACACAGGGAAGTTGCCTGTCTGGATACGTGTGCCTATAGTCACCCAGGCTTTTCTGGCACCTACTGCTGTGCAATTCCCTGCATTCGTGTCATCTATAGCTACCAGTGACAATGCTTAACAGATTTTCTTTCTTTCTTCGATGCCTTCAAGTCATGTTGACTGTTGGTGACTGCCTGGATAAGTCCCTGTGGTTTTCCTGACAAGATTTCAGAAGTGGTTTTCCCTTGCCTGCTTTCTAGGGCTGACAGAGAAAGTGGCTGGCCCAAGGTTGCCCAGCTGGCTTTTCGCCTCAAAAGTACAAAGGTAAAGGAATTTTACTCCGCTAGTCATTGTCAACTATAAGGAGCGGTGCTCATCTCCGTTTCAAGGCCAGTGGTACCTATTTATCTACTGACATTTGCATGCTTTCAAACTGCTAGGTTGGCAGAAGACAAGGTGAGGATGGGAGCTCATCCCATCATGTGGCGTTTGGGTCTCGAACCTGGGCTGCTGCTTTCCAGCTGACAAGCCCATCGTCTTAACCACTGAGCCACCGCACTGCCCAGGGGGTGAAATTCAAAAATTTTCCCTACCGGCTCTATGGGCATGGCTGTGGGCGTGGCTTGGTATAATAGTAGTAGCAACCAGGGGTGATTTTTTACCAATTCAAATCGTCCCTACCACCTCTCCCAAGGTGAGCCGAGGTGGTTGAATTTCACCCCTGGCACTGCCCCTCTGGGCCAAAAGCAGTACTATAACTCCTAGTCTTCCAGTTTACTAGCCTAGCATCTTAACCACTACACCAAACTGATTCTCCATAACAGACATGGGTAAATTAGAGAGGGAAGGAGGAAGGGAGAGAGAGAGTGGGAGAAAGAGAGAAGATATTTAAAGAGACACGACTGGCTGTGTCCTTACCTGACTTGGTCACCTCATTCTGTCCTAAAATGCTAGCCCACCAAATCAGTTTGCAGTTTTGATCCCAGGGTCTCTGCTCTCTTATGAAGAACTCCTTTCTAAGTTTGCGTAGTCACAGTGTCAGGTACCAATTTCTGGTTAGTTAATCTGTCCCAAAGTTCCAGTTACCCCATAGCTAATTTATGAACTATATTAGTCTGAGAAAGCAAAAACACAGTGCTTCTGAAGCCAATACGTCCATTTAGGTAAACTTTCCTACAAATGAAGGTCCCAGGATAATGGTACAGGATCCAATCTGGATCCTTAGACAGAACTTTGGTTCATAGGCAGAATTTCTCGCTAGCAGTGTATGTCACTCTGCCAGAGAAAACTGCCCTGAAGATGGGCCGAAAGCCTGGAAGACCAAAATCTCTGGTCGTAGGGACCGACCCAGATTGGATCCTGTACATTTTCCTTCCCAGTATGTGAGTGAGCTGTGCATACAGATCATCTAGGGCAGTTAGTAGGGACAGAAAATCCTTCCCTTGCTGTCACTGAGTTTCATGTGGGTCACCTACAAGCTCCAAGATAGTTGATTGGCTCTTCCACATCATGGGGGAGATCTTTTCATAATAGCTGGTACTCACCTGAGGAGGAAGCAGCTAATTGCTATGTCCATTTGTTTCAACATTGCAGAATGATTTCTTTCTGGACCAAAAAGGTCTTCGCTTTGACCTCTGCGGGAGGGCTGGAAAATCCAACTAGCTTATGAAGGGGGTTAACAAGTAAAGCTCTTATTGTCAGCCTAGGTCCGTGATGGCGAACCTATGGCATGCATGCCGGAAGTGGCACACAGAGCCATTTCTGCTGGCACGCGAGCCCTCGCCTGGAACAGATCCACTGCGCATGCGCACGCACCCCCAGCCAGCCAGCTGATTATCGGGTATCTGCCACGCATGCACAGAGGGAGACGCACAGGCGGGGGGCACACATGGGGATCATGCGTGAGGCACGGGGTGGGTCACACGTGCATTGTATTATGGGTACAAGCAAGCATGCACATGCAAGTGTGTGCACGCGCCCTTTCAGCACGTGACGACGAAAAGGTTAGCCATCACTAGCCTAGGTCAAAGTTTGTCTCTCAGCAGGATTTGGCAATATTCAGCTGGTGTTTTTTTCTTTAAATATTCCTAGGACCTGTTTTATACCTCTTCGAGTTTTTTCAAGTCATGCACCAAGTTTCAGTGGCAATATACTTTTTCATTAACCCCCCCACCTCAAATAATATGCTATGTTTGTATAATTCCTCTCCTAGGTTTAATACATGTAACTTACTTCTTAAAGAGAAACAACTATCTAAAAGTGTTGCCGCCTCCTTCCCTCTTAAAATGTCAATGCTTTGGCCCTTAGAAGCTAAACTCTTTTAAAAAAAATTCTAAAAATCCCTATTGCCAATTGTTTTGGCAATTGTTTCGAGAAGAGAGGCAGTGGGAATTTGAAGGCATTTCGCTGTTTGTGAGGTACATTTCTCTAAAGAGAAATATTTGTAAATATTTTTAAATGCACTCGATCATCAGTTGTAATCTAGGAAAGTATAATTTTCGTTCATTCCTGCAACGTATGGCAAAGGAATTTAGAAAGAAAGTAGAAATGATATTTCTGAAAGGAAAGTGAAATTCTGAGAAAAGGTCACAATTATGGCACCTTCCTTGTTTACTAAGTACACTGAAATGATGTCAGATTTATTATTTTATTGGGATTCCAACTTTCCAAGGAAACTCCTTAGATAGTTTAAAAATAGTTTCATGAGCCAAGAGCATTAAAAGTCCAATTAATATGAAAGATTACTGGAGGGGGAAAAAAACCAAGAATCCTCAGTTACATAATTCTTTTGACTGCAGTGATGATTGTTTCTGGCACGTGCTGCTACTCCTTATCCCATGACTCATGGATTCATGAGTTTTATATTGATTCTTTGTGATCATTCATGCTTTCATATTCCAATCTGGTGGAGGAGTAAGGACACTCTTAAACAAGTTGTGACTTCAAGAGCTTTTCCATTTACGGCAAATGCCCACAGTATTTTCTCTAAAAAGGTAAGACCAATTTTATTTCTGATGTACAAATTTACTTATTGATGTAGGATAATCAGTGCCTATGTGACTGAGCTAATCATTAGCCAACTTGTGGGTCAAGTGACCATATATGATTTGTATTGGACCTTGAATTCCTTTATTACAAACTAACTAAAAATGCTCCTTTGGAAAAGTCGAAACATTAAAATATAACTTACAATACATTTCAAAGAATACAAAAATTAAGGAGTAAGTGATTGACATGGAAGAGTGTTATCCTCATTTGGTAATCACTAGAAAGATTGTATTTTTTTTTAGTATTTCTTCAAAAATAAAAAATCAATGGGAATGAACAACTCTATTGCAGTTATTTAACATGCCAAATAAAAGGAAGACAAGTAACTTCAAAATAGAAATATCTTGAAATATGGGAAAGTGCTGCTTAGCTGTTTTTGTGGCATCAGTCTTTCCATTAATGCAATGATCTCCTTTAAAGTACTAGTTTGGTGTAGTGGTTAAGACATCAGGCAAGTAAACTGGGAGACAAAGAGGCACAAAGCCAGTTGGGTGGCCATGGCCTGCCCCTTCTCTCTCTCTCCCCCTCCCTGTCTGTCAAACCAATTCGGAAAAACTTGCTAAGAAAACATCAGGAACTAGTCTAGACAGTTGTCAGAAGTCAACACTCACTTAAGACCACATTTTTAAAAAATCCACACAAGTTATGGATGATTCTTCTCATAAGTTCCATGAATACATTCCTTTGGATTCTAGTTATTAAAAGTGAATTAAATCTTTGTCAGAAATGAAATATTCAGGATATATAGATAAAAAATCTTATTGATGCATCTGCATTTAGACGTTGTTGTATGATATTAGCAAATTTCAGCATTGGCCCAAAATTAGGTCATTCTTGGGAGAAAACACCTCATACTTGTTACCTAAGAAGGGTGTCTCAGTAGTACATCAATTGACGAGGCCAACCCTGGATAGCAGTTTCCTAAATTCTTAGGTCTGGTTTTAAGTCAGCTGTTAGAGAAGGTGAGATAGTAACTACAAACTAATTGTCAAGCATTGGGGCTGTTCCCTGCCTTTACCTGCCAAAATAGATTCCCTGGAATTCAAATAGACTTGCCACAATCTCTGCTTTGAGCTTGTTCAAGAGTTTGAACACTCAAGGTGTCAACTCTGAAGCAAACCTGGATGAAGCCATCTTTTCCTGCCTCATAGTTGCCACAAACTTTGAAAGGGGAAAGGGAGCGAGGAAATAGATAGATTGGCTACCAGTCAAAACAAAAAGTTTTCTTGTGGGAACCAAGGTCATCCCAACAGGTGGCAAGTGAAGGAGGAGAGGAGTGACCAGCCACCCAGCTACTTTCATTGGACATTGTGACCAGTGACATCTGGAAAGGGAAATATTTACTCTATTAATTAAAGGGGAAACCGTGGGAACTTTTAGAGTTGGTTTTCACTAGCTGTACCAATATGATGTATTAAATAAACATATTCTTTGAGGAATCCTCCTGCCTTTTGGCTGATGTGTTACTTGAAACCTTGACACAAGGTTTGTGCCGATGGTAGTCTCATAAAGACACCGCTTAGCCTCACCACAGTGTGCTTCCCTTCTATTTTAAAACAGAAGACACCTTAGGCCATGAACTCTGCCTTCTCCACATCCTTTTGATTGTGCTAGAAGAGAAACAGCACAAGATACCAGCAGCAATTGCCCTCCAAGACAAGAAAAGGAAAGGAGGGGATAAAACACATCCATCTTAGTCTCCTGCTTCAGGTATTGGCTGCTTGGCTTCAGCTGGTGATGCTCCAGATTGTGGTACTGACTGTGAATCTGGTATAGCAGAATTGTGTAGTTTGCTAAGTCAAATGGAGAAGCACTCCCCTGCTGTGAGTCAAGATAAGGTAAAGGTAAAGATTTCCCCTGTCCAGTCATGCCCAACTCTAGGGGGCACTGCTCATCTCCATTTCTTAGCTGAGGAAGCCAGCATTGTCTGAAGATATTTCCGTGGTCATGTGGCCAGCATGGCTACATACACCAAGGCACACAGAGCACTGCTACCTTCCCATTAAAGTGGTACCTATTTACCTACTTGGATTTGCATGCTTTCAAACTGCTAGGTGGGCAGGAGCCAGGGCAAGTAACGGGAGCTCACCCCGTCATGCAGAGCTCAGGTCTCGAACCCATTCTATCAGCTTTCTGGTTGTGAAGCTCAGCATCTTTAACCACTGAACCATTGTGCTCCCTTTTTAATGAAGATACGAGTGAGCAAGAATGAGCCAGTGAGGTAATGAGAATGGAACAAGATCATCTTGGATCTTGTAAGAACCATGGTGGCGCAGTGGTTGGAATGCAGTACTGCAGGCTAATTCTGCCGACTGCCAGCAGTTGGATTCTCACCGTTGACTCAGCCTTCCATCCTTCCGAGGTTAGTAAAATGAGGAGCCAGATAGTTGGGGGCAATATGCTGACATTGCAAACCGCTTAGAGAGGGCTGCAAAGCAATATGAAGTGATATATAAGTGCTATTGCTATTGTATGTTTTTAACTGTGTTATCATTCTTGTTTTAATACAACTCAAAAAATATACTTTCAGCTTTATGAAGGAATTGATGGGGTGTGGGAGGAATTTAAAGATAGACACAATCAGCTGATTTAGGATCTTGTTTCCTTTGTTATATATAATGTAACCATAATCATTCATAACATAAAATGCCAGTATAATCTCAATTTTGCCCCCATGATATTGGCTTTGCTTTGTTCCCAGGGCATGATTTAAGAAGCCTTGATTCTGGTGGGGAGGGGTGTTTGGTCACAGCTCAAATATTTTCATCCCAACAATGCTGGATAAAATGTATGGCACTCCTCTCCCATCTTAGCAACAATATGTATTTATATGTCTGGATATATGGTGAATTTAATATTTGGGGGACATCAAACTGCATTATCATATGTAGATCATAATGAGGAAAATAGAGGCAAGGGGGGGGGGGAAGGAATTGAATGGTAATAATAATTTGCATCCCATGTTTCTACCCAACACATATATATTCATAGCAACTAACACCAACATAAGAGATAAAGAAATAATGTTTAAAGAACAGAATTGAAAAATAATAAAACAATGCACACCCAAAGCATCAATAAAACACTTCAGAAGGCCAAGTCAGAAGGCCAGCTCTGAACACCCTTTTCAAAAGCATAGTCTATAGTAACGCGGCCCAGCTCCTGAGACAGTTTGCTCCATTATTTGGGAGTGACTCTGGGGAAGGTATGTTAGAAGGTAGTAGATTTTGGAGATCAGAGGAAGAAAGTTGCTGTGAGTGGTATACTATACACCAGTGATGGCTAACCTTTTTGGCACCGAGTGCCCAAAGCACATGCGTGTCTCCCCAAAATGCCACGCCCATGCATCCTGGCATTGCGTGTCGATGTGCGTCCCCCATGCATGCTCACACGTCTCTCATGCATGCACGCGTCTACATGCGTGCAGCCTGCTCCCCAAGCATGTGCACATGCTGCCTGTGCATGCGCCCTACCCCCCCCCACATGCGCCCTGCCCCCGTGCATGCATGACAGAGACCCAAAGACCAGCTGGCCAGCGAGAGGTGCGCGCACATGTGCAGCATAGCTGAGCTGGGGCGATGGCTCATGTGCCCACAGAGAGAGCTCTGTGTGTCACCTGTGGTACACGTGCCATAGGTTCACCATCATGGCTATACACTATACACTGTATAATTTGCACAAGTGGAATTTTGAAAAAGATACGCATGTATTTCTAGGAATGAAGTTGGTTGGCTTCCTTGAGCTTTCTGATCTGTGTGGTTTTTTTCTAAGAATGTATGTGGTTTGTGACATCACTAAGCCATGATTTTTGTCATCTCTAAACTCTGCTAAGAGTCTCAGGCTTCTGAAATCCAGTAGACCTAGCGCACCAACCTCTCCAGCACAGCACGTGCTGGAGAATCACAGGAGTTAATCTAATCATTGGAGGATATTAATTAGTACTTCCTTTAAACTAGAAGAGTGGAAGAAGCTTGTCATTTAATCCCCATGTTCAGAAAAGCTCAGCACCTCCTTGGACAGTTAACCTGCCTTTCTTCCTTCAATCAGGACTGAGACACACAGAGCATGGCAGGAACTTCTTGATGGTAGGATGAAATTTTAATGACTAGAGCCTAGATGTAGTTAATACAATCAGCCTGGACAATTTAATCATCTGGACCAACATTAGGAATTTTACCTCCCTTCCATATCAGGCCAAAATTTGCTCACAGTGTAACTTAAGTGCTCTATTTATTTTCAGTGTTTTTCTGCAAGTTCTCCTAGCCAGATTGTCAAAATTAGAACAGCCCCACGGTCTAAAGAACATAGAATGTATTTCTTTACATACAGTAGGTGCACATTGCCAAAAGTTGTGCTATTGGGGACTGTACTCCTAAAATAGGAAAGCATGCTTGTGCAATTACAGCTAATTCTTGGTTTTCCATCATTATCCCAGAGTCAATCGATAGGAATCCCTGCCGTTGCAAATAGCAACAGATGAAATAGACGTGAAGGTAAACTGACTTCCACTTTTCCCCCATCAGAATTCATGTCCTGCTAACTTCTGATTTCTCTCAGGAATTTTCTTCTGGAAACTAAATCAACAAAATCTGAATATAATTGGGATTCCTGAATTACTTCCATCTTCCCCAGAGATACTGATTTGTTGTCATTAGTTGCAAAGTCGTGTCCGACCCATCACAACCCCATGGACAAGGTTCCTCCAGGCCTTCCTGTCATCTACCATCTTCTGGAGTCCATTTAAGCTCACGCTGACTGCTTCAGTGACTTCATCCAGCCACCTCATTCTCTGTTGTCTCTTTCTTCTATTGCCTTCGATCTTTCCCAGCATTAGACTCTTCTCCAGTGACTCCTTCCTTCTCATTAGGTGGCCAAAGTATTTGAGTTTCATCTTCAGGATCTGGCCTTCTAAAGAGCAGTCAGGGTTGGTCTCGTCTAGGACTGACCGGTTTGATCGCTTTGCAGTCCAAGGGACTCGCAGGAGTCTTCTTCAGACATACTGAAGAAATATAAAGACTTGTTAACGTGGCTACATGTACAAAGGCTTGTATAAAGACTTATTAACGTGGCTACATCGCACTGTAGAGAGAATATAGAGAGCTCATAATAATCTAAAGGAGTTACAGATCTAACCGTTCAGCCCTTTCAAAACTCTGAACAAGCATGTAAAGCTGTCCTTTAAAAACAAAGGGAGAGAATTAGATTTTCAACTGATAATAGTGTCACAACATCTAGGACTTGGAGCATTGTTTGAGAGAGTATGGCCACAGATGTACATAGGAAGCCAATGGTATTATGCCGGCTTTTCTACAAAAAGAAAGAAAGAAAAAGAAAGAAAAGAAGAGAAACAAGGAAAGAAATGGTTCTGTGCAATTATTCTTAAAATATTCATGTAAATCCCTTTGCTGCCCACAATGCTGTCAAACCAAATACATTTCTTCAAGACCTATGGGTGCACTTTCATAAATTAATAATGCAAAACCTGAAGATTGTTAAATATAAGGAGGCAAGGAAAAATAAGTTACTGTTTAATGAACTTCCTGTTGACATTAAATAAAAACCCCAGAGACATGGGAACAGGAACTTAGAAGAACAAGTTGCTGTAGTTGTTTTCAGAAAAAACAGTTTTTGTTGTTTCTTTCTTTTATTTTAGAAATGTGGCACCAGAGTGTAGGAGTGCCATGGCACTCCTATATTTCTTCTTTTCGTCTCTAGGGGAAAAGAAAGGCAAAGTCTGTTGTACTGTACATACAGATCTATCTGTCTCTTCAAATGTGATGATGTAATGAAGCCAAGAAATTTGCCTTAATTATTTAAGTCCGATAGTGCCAGGCTTCAGCACAGTGGTGTGGTGGCCTAGTGGTGAAGATGCTCACCTCCCATTCAGAAGGTTGATAGTTCAATCCTAGGTAGCAACAGATATTTATCTCCTAAGGCACAAAGAAAAAATATCTGCTGTACACTGCATGGTGTCAGGAAGGGTAAATGCTCAGTTTCCATCCACTCTACCCCGAAGTCGTAAAAAGGGAGTTTCTTTATGCTGACCTTCATCAGCCTAAAACCCTCTAGATACTTTCAGTAACTTTCACCATGCTAACATGGAAAAAGAATATACTTGCTGTGGTGAAGCTGTAGCCAAATATAATCGAAGGAACCACAACAGAGATCTAACCATTTTAACTATTGTTTTGTATTCTAAATGATTCTTAGTTTTATTTTATTTTTAAATCATTATTTTATTGCTGAAATATAATATTGGGAGCAATTTTTTTTTATTAAAAAAGGCTGTGTAGAAATGTGGTACATAAACCATTTGTATAATTTGTGATACAACCGATGTGTTGGGCAGAATGTTCATTTGTTTGTTTAAAGTAGAAAATCATAGGTCTCATACCAATTTCCTGTTTTTAAGAATGAAAAAAAAATGACGTAGAAAGTTTCAAAATAAAATTTGGCTTACAGTTTTTGTGTGAACTTACCAAACAAATAATACGTGTTCTGTAACTATTGCACCCTTAGGTTAACTGGTTTAACAACATATGTGTGAACAGAATTATTAAAAGACAGACACAATCACCAGTTCTGTTCTGCAACACTATTGCTGCAATGTCCTGCTTTTAAGATGGGTTCCTCAGAGAATAGGAAGTAGACTGATAAGACAAGCACACAGCTTCTTGGTTCAGACAAAGCATACTAAATAAGCATCCCGTTATCTAAATCACAGCTCAACATGGCTTGGGTAAGTGTTAAAAGATGAATAATTTTCTTTTCATCTTTTTTGATCTTCTTTCACATCGGGCCCAGAGAATCCTCTCAGGGGAATGATTTTTGGGTACCACAATGGTGATAGTTTATTCTGTTTACAAAGGGAACAAGGAAAGCCTTGAATTGTCTTCTCAGGTGCTGTTGGGTTGGTTTTAAGAACTAGTGCTGAAAGATGTCTCCTAAGTGTTTACCTACCTTTTTACCCATAGAGTAAAAATTCCTGGACAGGGTGGGTTATTGCAATACATCATTATTTAGTTTTCTAATGTCTACATTCACGATTGTTATGAAATCAGGGTCAAATGGGAAGAACAAAGTCCAGATTAACAGTTGCCTAGGAACTATGTAGAACTACGGCCTTGAATATAGATAAGTAAACCATTGATCTAAAGTTCCTTTGCGAAATCCCCAGGAAATACTGTGTTAAGAAATTCTTTCTGCAACCTACTTAGCTTCCTATTTGTGATGCCTTTCTCACAGAGTGCTGTGTGTGAATTAGATAATGACTGACAGTGACTTTGTGCCTTCAAATATACTACAAGTGGATTAGTCCAAGGACATGGATTAGAACAGGGGTGTCAAACTCATGTCGTCATGTGACATATCAGGACTTTTCCCCCCTTTGCTAAACTGGGCATGGGTGTGGCTAGCATGTGACGTATCCGGCCCATGGGCTGGGAGTTTGACAGCCCTGGATTAGAAGAACAGAATAGATCCAACATATGCTTGCATATTATGCTAAGGTCTGCTTTGCTTAAACATGATTTACTGAATACGCCCAGCTAGTTGAGATTTTATGACACTCTAAAATAACATTGCCTGTGCTCATACCACAAGCCAACAGTCCATGTTACAGCATAGTGCAATGTGTAGCACTGTTTGGATTTGAAGATCATTGGAGAAAATGTTGTAGGCCTGAATTGAACCACAAGGTAGAAACATTAATATAGCTAATAGAGCAGATGAGCAGAGTGGATCAGCACAAGCTGGTTCAAAATTACATTCCTCCATTAATCATGAGCAACATTCAGATTATTACGTTGGTTTGTGTAGCATCAAGTGTGGTTTTTCAGATTGGCTGACTTTTTCCTCCACTTGCTGCTTTTTACTTGCCTGGTAAAGAAATCCTTGTGTGACTTGGGGTCTCGTTTTAAATGATCACAATAAAGGTATTAGCCAATGGTTGTTTTTATGCAAGAAGTTACTGCCTCTCACATAAATTCATATTTGTTCATTTATGGAAGTAGACGGTCAAGGGGGAAAACATGAATTTTAACGCCTGGGCCAATTCTATTTTCATATTTATTTCAGGAGGAAATTGAGGAGTACAATTATAGCATGTGGCACCATTTCGTCCTATGGTTAATCGTCATCTTTATATGGTGGAAATGGAGAGGTAGGGAGAATTTAGACGAAGTGGATCCCGAAGGGAAATACATATTCATCACTGGTTGTGACTCTGGATTTGGGAAACTGGCAGCTATGACCTTTGATAGGCGAGGATTTCAAGTGATTGCTGGTTGCCTCACGGAAAAGGGGGCAAAGGAGCTGAAAGAGGAGTCATCGGCCAACCTCCAAACAGTGCAGCTGGATGTGACAAACTCAGACAACATCAAGCAAGTAGCAGAACAAGTTAAGAAAGAAGTAGGACAACGTGGTAAGCAATTAAGTCCTGTTCCTGGGTGTTTCTCTCTGCCTACTAAATACAGAGTTGAGAAGAGGGCCACAGCACTTTTACAGGATGGATATTAATGGGGCTATAAACAAGAGGAAAACTTTGCTTCACCTGCTGGTTCCCACTTATATCAAAGTCCATGCTGGTTGGGAATGATAGGAAGTGGAGCACAGGAGGGAGTAAGCTGATGGAATTTATTTTTGCTGCTTTTGTTGGACTTTCCTCCGGAACATTCCAAAAAGCTGGAGTAGAGGCTGTTGTTGGCCAGTTTTATGACAATATGTGGCAGCAGCAACTATCCTGTTCTAGTCCATAGGGGATTTTTAAAACAGTCCCCCTGTACAAATAAGATGTCTACTGGAATATGTTTCTGGATTTTGCTGCACTTCAGCCCTGGCAGTCCAACTGAAACTCCATTCAGCAAAAACTCATTTCGTTGAAGTGGTGATTCTGTAAAATGGACGTAAGAATAATGGCTTACAATTGCCAATAATCCACTGTATTTTGTAGCTATCTCCTCATAGTCAAGAAATAATTGTTCCTCTCTTTCTTCCTCTTTAAACTTCATGGTTTAAAGATTACAGGAAAGAGATAACATATCAATTAGGTATATTTGTTTTTGTTTCATTATATTAGAGTTTTAACCCTTTCTTAGACATTCAGAGTTGCTGTTTCAATCTGGGCAGCCATATAAATTGATTAAATAATTCAGTGGCAATAAGGCACGAACATAGTGAGACTTACTTCTGAGTATTTTATTCAGTTTATCCTGCTTTTCCATTTATGGAATATTTGGAATAGTAAAGATGTAAAATAAAATTTAACAGAATAAAAAAATTAAAACCCCAGTAAAATATCTTAACTGTTCTTACCTGCTGAAGGCTAATAGTGAGTATATGACAGGTAAATGAGGCATCTTCAAAAAAAACAACCCTGTCCTATATATATCATAATATCTGGGAAAGTAAAAAAAAAAATCACATGGTGATCTCTCTTATGTTTAGATTCTAAACTGTTGAGGGATGTTTAAAGGTTAACACCAATATCTTAAATCACTGTTTCTCTACCTCAGCAATTTTAAGATGTGCAGACTTCAACTTCCAGAATTCCCATGCTGGCTAGGGAATTCTGGGAGTTGAAGTCTGCCCATCTTAAAATTGCTGAGGTAAAGAAACACTAATTTAAATGGTGTCCAGAAAGCACTTTGGGAATTGCACTGGCAAAAAAGAGTCAATATTTTTACTGCCAAACAACTTGAATCATTGGGCAGCTCCTCCTAAGGTTTCGCTAGCTTCTCTCCCTCTTCCATGTCTTAGTTCTAAGTGTCTGGAAAAAACAATATGTTCCTTCTCCTCTGCCAAACAACCCTTCAATCTCAGGCATCTTCCCTTAATCTGTTGTTTAAGATAAACAATAGCCACAGAGATTTTGCTTTGCCTCTGAAATCAATCAATGACATGTCCAGGAAGGGCTATAAAAATTGTGGCCAGCCACTGCCAGTTAATGCAAGAGACGCAGACCCAAAACATCACTTATTATAGCAGCTTTCTGCAATGCTCTTCAGAGAACGTGATTTTCAGTTTTCCTAGTTTGTTTATGTCCGTTTGAGGATAAACAGATTATGTGGTGTGAAAACAACTAAAGTTCCTGGATTATGATTGTGGCAACATTGTGTGTATAATAAATAACATTCTGGCCATTATGAAAAGTGTTAAGAAAGTGGATGCACACTTTCTTAACACTTTTCATAACAGCCAGAATGTTATTTATTATATTCAGATATGATATTTTTGTGGGGTTTTTTTCCTTTCTTTCTTTGCAGGTCTCTGGGGCCTTATCAATAATGCTGGTGTCATGGGACCATCAGCCCCTACCGACTGGCTGAAGATTGAGCACTTTAGAGCGCCCATTGAAATCAACCTGATAGGCCTCATAAATGTTACATTAAACATGCTTCCGTTGTTGAAGAAAGCCAAAGGAAGAATAGTAAATGTAACCAGCGTTGGTGGTATTCTGGCAATATGTTCAGGGGGTTATTGTCCATCCAAATATGGAGCAGAAGCCTTCACCAACAATTTAAGGTTAGTCGGAAGTCGCTGAAAGAGGTTCATCGTGGCTAAGATTCAATCCAGTCTCAGTGGGCTCTAATGTCAGCATCGTATCCGATCATTCAGCTCTGTGAATTGAGTCATCTATATATGGTTCACTGCAAGGCTATAACATACATTAAATCTATGTACATTAAACACACATTAAATCTTTTCTTGCTTGTAAAGTAATAACAAAAGGAAGAATGAGGACAGGAAAAGTCTGGCTTGGGGAGAGGAATCATTTCCCCCCTGAAATCGGTTGGATTTTTGGAAAGAAAATGGCTTTTCTTAGGTACTTGTCCCAAGGAGGAAGGGAAAGTTTTAAAGATTAACAAACGTCTAGCCTGCTTTAGTGCAGTCCAGCACAACATGCAGACACAGATTCAACAGTAGGCATTTTAGGAGGAAACCATGTATTAGAGCCGTGATGGTGAACCTATGGCACGCCATTTGTACGGGCACGTGAGCCCCAGGCAAAATTACCTCACTGCACATGTGTGCACCTCCCAGCTGATTTTCGGGCCTTTTTTGTCCTGCCAAAGGCTTGAGGGATGCCTCTGCAGGCTTTGCAGACCGAAAAATAGGCCCATTTCATCACTTCCTGTATTTCAGAAATACCGGAAGTGACTAAACAGGACCATTTTTCAGCCTGCAAAGCCTGTAGAGGCATCCCTCAAGCCTCTGGCAGGCCAAAAAAAGGCCTCAAACGGGCCAAAAATCAGCTAGGATGCGCAGTGCAGGTAAGGGGGGGGGGAATCATGTACCTGCGCAAGGGGCATGGGGGGGCTGTGCACATTGCCTTCTGGGTGCTGGCACGCGAGAGATAGCGCACACGCAATTTTGGGCACAGGAGCCCAAAAAGGTTAGCCACCATTGTATGCTGATGTGGATTGTGTAAATCTAGAGTCTAGTAGCACATTTTTTGACAGACAAATATTAGTAAAAAGCATAGGTTTTCACAGACTGCAGTTCCGATCGTCTCATCTCCTGCTCGTTAAAAGCTCACGGCTTTTAATAGCTATTTAATCATGAATAGAACAGAACAGAATAGAATAATAACTTTATTGCCACTTTGAATGTATTAATGTACTAATCGGCATACATTAAAATGAAATTTTGTTGCATATAGCTCTCAGAGGGTCACCACCTCCAATATACACTACATGAACATGACACAAATAAATAAGTACAAAATTGTATATATATGCCCACATATAATATATGACACAGAGAAACAACACAGTCTAGTTCGGATGTATACATGTACATGGCAAGAAAAATGAATCTTGCGAGTTTACCAGATGGATGGCATCGGGAACAAAGCTGTTACAGAATCTGGTAGTTTTGCTAGAAGTACTTTGAAACCTCCTCCCAGAGGGGAGCAATAGAAACAGGCTGTAAAGTGGGTGTGTGGTGCCACCAAATTCAACAATACTTCTTCTCTCTAAAAAGTCTTTCTAGTGTAAGTTATTACTGTTGACATCTTTTCTTGTTTTGCAGACAGGATATGAAGCCCTTTGGAGTGGAAGTGTCCTGTATTCAGCCTGGCTTGTTCAAAACACCTCTCTCTGATAGAGCCCGGGTCATAAAAGAAAAAGTGGCCATTTGGAATAGCCTTCCTCCCACCATCCAACGGCAATATGGTGAACATTACCTCAAGGAAGGTGAGCTATGAAAGGATTTCAAGGCCCAAAAGAAGCTCTGGAGCCATTAGATTTCAGGGGAATCTGATCTATCTTGGTTCAGCAGGTGTCTTTGATGTGGTGAACATTTAAATGCCCTCTTTCCATTTTATCCATGGGGAGATTCCCTTCGCCATGGTTTCCTCTTAGCCTCCAAAACACTATCCTGACATTTCCCTTTGTTTGATGGTTAACTCAGCACCGTTCCAGAACCCCACAATCCACCTTCATGGATGGAGCAGTAGCACACTCATCACTAGCATCTAAGTTGAGGCTGTTCATGGCAAGCTATTTTTATTTTAAAAATGCTTACATTTTGAATAGCAGGCTGGCCATGTAACCATAGCAATAGCACTTAGACTATATACTGCTTCACAGTGCTTTACAGTCCTCTCTAAGTGGCATATTGCCCCCAACAATCTGGGTCCTCATTTTACCAACCTCTAAAGGATGAAAGGATGAGTCAGTCTTGAGCCTGGTGAGATTTGAACTGCCAAATTGCAGGCAGCTACCACTCAGCAGAAGTAGCCTGCACCACTGCATTCTAACTACTGCACCACCATGTAGATAGTTATTGCCACAGGTGCCCACTCTGTATTTTTCTAAAGCAATTTTTCTCAGCTTTCTTAGTGGTTTCAGAACTGAGGACTTCAGTTCCATGAATTCCAGGCTTTAACATTATCTAGATTGGGAGTGGGGAATTATGGCCCCTTTATGACTTGTAGACCTCATGGCTGGTTCAGGAATTCTGGGAGTTGAAGTCCACAAGTCATAAAAGGGCCAATAGTTTCCCACCCCTTATCTAGATGCTCACGGCCTTTCTTTAACTGCCAGGTAAGGCCGCTTTTTAATAATTCACATCACCTTCTATAGTACTGTCATCTATCATCATTGCCTCAGTATAACCCTATTATTGTAGTATCAGCACAACTGTAGTTGGATGTTGCCAGAAGATGCTATAAATCATTAGTGAGGACCCTAAATACGGCATCAGTCATTTTCTCAGCTGCAAGAAATGAGTATGTGCGTGCGTGCGAAGTGTAAAAATTCTCTTTCTCCCTCTTGCCCAGTCATACTATCAGTATTCTTTGTAGATTAAGAGAACAAAACCACATGTTAATCTGTCAGATCTTGTTAGCTCTATTAGTACTGTATGTATCTGTATGTACTTAATGTCACAATCCAATGCAATTTCTCTTTACGGCTTTATATGTTAGAATCATAACCATAATCATATCAAACTACTTGATCAAGAGCCTTGAATCCTGTTACTGAAAATATTCTCCTCTCCTTTTTCTTCTTTCCCTAGATGCAAAAAAGAAAGATAAATTAGTCAAGATGTGCCAGAATTCAGACCTGTCACTGGTTGTGAGGTGCATGGAACATGCCATAATGAGCAAATATCCAAAGGCTTATTACAGCGTAGGCACAGATGCTAAATTCCTTTGGATTCCTCTTTCAAAGATGCCCACCTTTATCCAGGACTACATGCTCATGAAGAACAAAGTTAAGCTATTTAATCCAAACTCAGAATAAGATCTCCTCCTTTGTTTCCTTGGAGGGAAACGCCAACCTGTTGGCTCCGAACTTATGATACTGTGACCATTGTTTGTTACCCAGTTCAAAGTACCAATTCACATACATGCTTCAAAAGCTGTGCTTGCTTAAATAAGGAAGATAAATACTCCAATGTTCAGGCAAACAAGCATCCAGTCGTGTGGGTGATCCCATTTCTTGCTGACATTAAGACAGTAACATGGTCTGTATTGTCTGATGGTTGTTAAGGCTGAACTAGCATTTGCTGACAAAAATACATCCTAGGCAATCGATCAGTCAAAACTTGGAAAACTCTACTATCGCAGGACAGTGAAATAATCGTGTATTTTAAGAGCTCATGAGAAGAAAAACAAAGCACAAAGGCAGTTAAAAATACTATGTACTTTGCAAACATTGGTGATTTGAAAGAGCTCTACAGAAGCAAAACAAAATCCTGGTTCACCCTTTATATGTACGTATGTGTGTGTGTATGTGAGAGAGAGAGGGAGGAAGGGAGCGAGGGAGAGACAGAGAGACCCATATAATGGCAGTTTAAGCCCTTTGCAGAGGATTGAATTCTCGGATGATTGGAATTTGCCCAGAGGTCAAGAGACTAACCCAAGGAAGGACCAATTGAAAGAGATATAGGTAGCCCTTGACTTACAACCACAATTGAGCCTAAAATTTATGTTAAGTGAGACATTTGTCAAGTGAGTTTTGACCCATTTTATGACCTTTCTTGACACAGTTGTTAAGTGAATCACTGCAGTTGTTGAGTTAGTAACCTGGTTGTTAAGTGAATCTGGTTTCCCCATTGACTTAGATTGTTGGAAAGTGGCAAAATGTGATCACACGACCCTGGGACACAATAGCTATCATCAATATAAACCAGTTGCCAAGCATCTGAATTTTGATCACAGCAAGTTGTGACAGTGAAAAATGGTCCTAAGTCACTTTTTTCAGTGCTGTTGTAACTCTGAACAGTTTCACTAAATGGAACTGTTGTAAATCGAGGACTACCTGCAATGCCCACGAACATGTAAGGGAATGCCTCTCTTTAGTGAGGAAACTTTTCCTTCAAATCTCTGAAGACTGAGAAATCTTGCTTCCTGTGTATCCTTTCCCTCTCGGTTCAGCCTCCGTGGTTAGGACTCTCCATCCTCATGCTGCACTGGTTCAGGTGAAGCCTCTTTCTGAGATGTTAGGAAGCCATTAGTTGAATGCTGGCTTGATTTGGCCTCGTGCCTTTTATAAAATAGAAACTGGATATTGATGCCAGCCATTCCAGATTACAGTCCTCCTGGCTGAAGTTGTTGGGAATATAAGTTCAGCGACATCTCGAGAGCCCACAACGAGTGCGCTCAGAAACCACGACTAAACACATGCCGAAAAAAAATCTCAGGTTTAATTTAGCATCTTTCCAATTAAGGGGTCAGAGGCACAATTTCCATTGGCATGGGCAAGACTGGATTTTGCAAACAATTTGGTGTGCTGCAGAGCCCTTCCTATGATACAGTAATTGCATATGTCTAACGAGCAAAAATGAATTTGAATTTGCTTTGCACTCTTCGGTTTTGAACTGCAAAAGTAAGAAAATTCTGGTCGGGCTTCTTTGAATTAAAAACAGTCAAACTGTGGCTCAATGAAGATTATCTATTCACTTATCTATTTCCCCAAACTAGATTGTGATTTGTTTTTAATTCAGCATGTGGCATGATCTTAACTAGTTGTGGCATATTCAAAATGCCACATATTCATATGTGGTTAAAATAAGTCGTGATTTAGCGTTTCATATTTCTTGAATCCCTTCAAGCCCTGTTCGGGAAGCTTTGCAAACACAGCACAACAGCAGTAGGCTAAGCTTGCTGCTCACCTCTTTATCACACCCGTGGATCAAAATGTTAGAAAAAAACAGCTACTGGGATCAGTATTGTCCCTAAATAAGAGCTGGATGAGGCTTATTCCTGCAGGATGACCTACTCCAAAAAACAAGGGAGGCACCGCCTTTCTTGCCATTTGGCTCTCCCAATGAGTTTTAAAGAAGTTAATTTTTTTATATATATACAAGAATATTCTTGACTCATGCTTCAACATGGTCAATGAAAGATGGTCAGTTGATAATGCTCAACAGATAGATGGACCAATACCCTGAATCTAACACAGCTATTATACTTCTTACATGGAAAGTGAATAAGAGGGTATGATAGAACAATTTTCAGCTTGAATTGTAAAATTTATCTTTCCTATCCACATACTAAGAACATCCATCAAAAGAACAAATTATAGCATTCCACAGGGACATGTTACTTTTGTATTGAATTTAACTGGTTGATCAAAGGTACATGGGTTTAGAAGTGGTGAAATTCCATATACAGGTGAAACTCGAAAAATTAGAATATCGTGCAAAAGTTCATTTATTTCAGTAATGCAACTTAAAAGGTGAAACTAATATATGAGATAGACTCATTACATGCAAAGCAAGATAGTTCAAGCCGTGATTTGTCATAATTGTGATGATTATGGCTTACAGTTCATGAAAACCCCAAATCCACAATCTCAGAAAATTAGAATATTACATGCAATCAATAAAACAAGGATTGTACATAGAACAATATCGGATCTCTGAAAAGTATAAGCATGCAGATGTACTCAGTACTTGATTTGGGCCCCTTTTGCAGCAATTACTGCCTCAATGCGGCGTGGCATGGAAGCTATCAGCCTATGGCACTGCTGAGGTGTTATGGAAGACCAGGATGCTTCAATAGCGGCCTTCAGCTCTTCTGCATTATTCGGTTTAATGTCTCTCATCTTTTTCTTGGCAATGCCCCATAGATTCTCTATGGGGTTCAGGTCAGGTGAGTTTGCTGGCCAATCAAGCACAGTAATCCCTGGTCATTGAACCAGGTTTTGGTGCTTTTGGCAGTGTGGGCAGGTGCCAAGTCCTGCTGGAAAATGAAGTCAGCATCCCCATAAAGCTTGTCTGCAGAAGGAAGTATGAAGTGCTCCAAATCTCCTGGTAGACGGCTGCGTTGACCCTGGACTTAATGAAGCACAATGGACCAACACCAGCAGATGACATGGCTCCCCAAATCAACACAGACTGTGGAAACTTCACACTGGACTTCAAGCATCTTGCAGTGTGTGCCTCTCCATTCTTCCTCCAGACTCTGGGTCCTTGGTTCCCAAATGAGATGCAAAAGTTGCTCTCATCAGAAAAGAGGACTTTGGACCACTGAGCAACAGACCAGTTCTGTTTTTCTTTAGCCCAAGTAAGACGCTTCTGGCGTTGGTGGTTGTTCAGGAGCGGCTTGACAAGAGGACTACGACATTTGAAGTCCATACCCAGGATCCGTCTGTGTGTGGTGGTTCTTGATGCACTGACTGCAGCCTCAGTCCACTCCTTGTGAAAGTCCCCAACACTTTTGAATGGTCTTTTTCTGACAATCCTCTCCAGGCTGTGGTCATCCCTGCTGCTTGTGCACCTTTTTCTTCCACACTTTTCCCTTCCACATAACTTTCTATTAATGTGCTTTGATACAGCACTTTGAGAACATCCAACTTCCTTTGCAATAACCTTTTGAGGCTTTCCCTCCTTATGGAGGGTGTCAGTGATGGTTTTCTGCACAACTGTCAGGTCAGCAGTCTTTCCCATGATTGTGATTCCTACTGAACCAGACCGAAAGACCATTTAAAGGCTCAGGAACCCTTTGCAGGTGTTGTGGCTTAACTAGCTGATTAGAGTGGGACACTTTGAGCCTAGAATATTGAACTTTTTCACAATATTCTAATTTTCTGAGATTGTGGATTTGGGGTTTTCATGAGCTGTAAGCCATAAGCATCTCAATTATGACACATCACGGCTTGAACTATCTTGCTTTGCATGTAATGAGTCTATCTCATATATTAGTTTCACCTTTTAAGTTGCATTACTGAAATAAATGAACATTTGCACAATATTCTAATTTTTTGAGTTTCACCTTTAGGTCATTCTGCACCTTGCACCTTTTAGCACTCCAGAGAATATTGAAGAACTGAGTTTTATTTTGCACAAGTTAGCTGAAGGAGACATATGAAGTTCTGGAGAAGGAGAGGATCCTGAGGAAACGAGATCTTTTCTTCATCTCCACCTCAGTTCTGGGGAAATCTACCTTGTCATGGTTAATGTAATTGCGCCAGCATTTCCTTAAAATATTGTGCACGGTTTTTCATGAATGATTCATTTATTGTGTACATTGTGTCCTACACATTTCAATAGTGTTTGTTACCCGTTGTATTGTTAACAGTTGATCAAAGAGCATTAACTATTCTTGGTGAGAATGCGTTTACTTCCCATGGGTTGCCCTGAATCTAGAATTATTTCAGACTTAATATCTAGAATGTGTTTCAAATGGGATGGGCTGAGAGTGGGACCAATAAGAGGCTGACTTGCTTACCTTGCTATCGAGAGTCAGTTTTGGTGTAGTGGTTAAAACATTAGGCTAGAAACCAGGAGACTGTGAGTTCTAGCCCCACCTTGGAGGCAAAGGCCCCTGGGGGGCCATGGGCCCGGAACTCTCTCAGCCCTAAGAAGGAGTAATGACGAGCCACTTTTGAAAAACTTTGTGAGGTAAAACTGCAGGGACCTCTCCAGGCGGTCTCCAAGAATCAGACAGGATTAAACCAAAGAAAGCAAAAGAAATCTTGCTGTGAATATTTCTAAATCTATATGACAATGGCACTGAATCTGTGCTATATTTATTTTTCAGTTATTGATCAAGATTTTTCCACTTAATAGATCGTTCCCTTGGTTTCCGTTGCTATTTCTGATATTTTGGAAGTTAACTATGGAATCCTTTTTATCATAACCTAACGTTGCTATTGAGTTTGCAGCCATAAAGTATTTTAACGGGTTCGTATTTTGTTTTCTGGTTTGCTTGTTGCTAATTGTTTCTATTTTTCGGTCGCCATTAGTTCTCGTTCATTTTGAGAAATTTCTATTTTTGTATCTGCGAGTTGGATAGATAATAAATATGCCCTTTTTGCCAAAGATACCATCTTACGTATATTTACAGGACATTTAGACTTAGGTTTTTAATGGACAAAATGTGATTTAAGAGAACAACTGTAATTGTGCGATATAAGGCCTTTCTATATTCACATTGTATGCACATCTAAAGACTCATTACCTTCTGTACACTTTAAAATTATTTGGGTGCGATAACTATCTTTCAAGTAATACTTTTTAAAACTATGTCCCAATTACAAGCCTTGCAACATATGATAGCCTCTAGCCAAATCTGATGATCTTATAAAGTTATAAAGGATTCAATTTGGTTAGTACTTTTTAGACCAGTCCCAGAAATCCTAAGTGCTGAAAAATTGACTGGGAAAATGAAGGGGAAAAAACATCCTGGAAAAAGGCAATGGCAAAAATCAATTTGATTTTGTTGCCAAGAAAATAATCTGTATGACCTATGTATCTTCCAGTTATCACATTTAGCTTGAGGAAATATTAGCAAATCCAAGTCCATTGCTAGTGTGGTTGAATTGTTTGTAAAAATTTAGTGGAGGAACTCCGTTTATTGCTGTTATTTAAACACCAGATAAGGAGGTTGGTTTTATAAATCGAATACATGTAGACAAAAAGCATAGATATATCTGCTGTAGTTTGATACACATCCAAAAAGTATTGGCACGCACATTGGAATATGTTCATTGGGATTAATATCCTAAACGGCTAAAATACTGAAATTTTGCACTTTCTGAAGATCAGTTCTTGCTTTCAGACAAGAATCAGTTTCTCAAACTTGTTCTGCTACAAGCTGAGGAAGTGGTTATAAATTGTGGTTAAAATATGCTTCATCATACATGAACAAAACCTCAGTTTGACTTCTCTGAAACTTCTGTTACCTGCTCTTTTTCTTAGGAACTCCTATCTTAGCTCTGTT